ACACCCCACCTTTGGGCTTCTCCTTCCATGAGCCCAGGCTGAAACCGAATAGCTCCGAAGCTTCCAATTCGATTTCTTCATCCGTCCCATTCAGCAGCCACACTGCTTCTGTAGGGGACTTCGTGAAGTACACCTCGATGTCGGGGTTGCAGGTCAACTTGGCCCAGGACAGCATCCTTGGCAATGAATGGCAAGCGAAAAAGTCAGACTTAATGAATGTCAGCCGGCAAATCATCAACAAACTGTCTCAGACTGACTGTCAACAAGGAATGAAATCATGTTTCATTGACTGTCTGTCGCTCTCACTTTAATAGACGAGTGGCTCGAACTTTGTCTCAAACTCCAGCTGGCTCATCACTGTGGCTGGCATAAACTGGTGGTTAAGGTCAAGCGGGGCACAAGGGGCTGTGTATACTGGCCGGGACGCCGTTCTCACCGAGGGACGCTGACTTGCTGCCTGCAGCCAGTTTGAAGGTGGAGCTGCAGCCGTGTTGGCCAGAATCACATGCTGGTTCTCGTCTGTCAAGTCCGCCACAAGCTTTGCCAGGCGTGCCGCTCGCGAACCCAGCTTTTCCACTGTGCTCTGCGGCAACCTCGGATCACTGATTCGATAGGAGCTACTGGCGGGCGACATCCAAAGTACGCCTAGGACCCAGGAAGGGCAACGATTCGATGTGAACGACGATGTAATAAGTCATTCCGATTCCAGCTGTGGTGCGAGACATTCCCGGCCTGCAAGGTCAAGACTTCAAGCGTTGGCGTGGGAGTGCTTGCGCTTGTCCTCTGGCGAGTCTTGGGCCCGGCTTCCGCAGAGGCATCCCACCATTCCTGCAATAGTCTTTAACTTTCTCTCGCAGTCACTCTCTCTCTCTCTCTCTCTCTCTCTCTCTCTCTCTCTCTCTCTCTCTCTCTCTCTCTCTCTCTCTCTCTCTCTCTCTCTCTCTCTCTCTCTGTCTCTCAGCTTCCATAGAAAGTCATGTTTTCCAAGAACTATTCAAAGCCCAGTGACAGAGTTCACCAACCCCGCGATGTGCTTCTCCACAGGGCCGAGGTCGATATCATCATTGTGCGCATACGCCGTGAAGTACCAATTGTGCTTCCCAGCATCTTCGCGAGTGGTGAGGAACTCTTTCTGAAGCATCCAGACCGCCCTTCCCCATTCATTGAACCTGAGGCACATAAACTTTGGCCTACTACATTCAATATGGAACCCGCCTAGCGTTGACGAACAACCAATTAAATCACTAACAGTACAAAATTTGACCGTTGCCCACTTGGACTTAGCTACTTCGATGGGACGAGGTCGACAACCCAGAGGCGAGTGCCTCCCGGGAGCTCCAGCCCGTCGATCAAGTTCAAGAGTATCTGCTTGCAGCTTTCTGGGCCGCGCTGCTGAACCTTACATCATCATCCCAGAAAACAACAGACTCAGACTGAGACGACTCACTGCACACTTAAGTTGAAGTGTCATAGCTCGGCCACTGCAGTCTGAGGAGCTCTCTGCGACGGCGTCAGGCTTTTGTCCGGGTCATCGTTCCAAAGATCGACCTGGCGCGCCCTCGCAACCGGTCCCACAAAGCCAAAGGTGGCTTTCGACTTGCTGAACGCAAGACTGTTGCCGTGCACTTGCGAAAACGCCAGCATGCCTGAAGCACAGTGCATCTTGACTTGCAAACTCATCATACCCTGACACTGACTGACACTTACAATCTCAGTCTGACATAGTAATAAGCATCATCATCAGGCTAAAATTGCAGCCCAAGCTCCCAACTGAATCCGCTTGCGTTTGTCGCCACCGTGGCCAGAGTCTTTGTACTGTATCGATACCTCTTGGGCATCCAAACACCTCAGGCTGAGGGCGACTCTACGTTGACCGGCATATAGTATTTGACATTGAATTGAACGGTCGTCTGGGTTCAAAACCTAAACGGTGAGGAGTCGGAGGCGGGAGGTGGAGCGCAAGCAACAGCCAGTGGGGGCATTGGGGTTGAGACTGCAAGGCAGATTGAGCTCGCAACGCGACATCACATCATGAATCATGCCGGCGCTAGCTAGCTAGCTCGCGCGTAGAAGTTCTGCGCTTCGAATTCAATAATAATTCTGATTCTGCTTCAAGCAGTCGCGCTTCGAATTCAAGTCCGATTCTGATTCTGCTTACATTCCGTCTACTACTACGAGTACTTACTACGACTACTTTCTTAGAGTCAGCCCGCATAGGGTACACATTAATTAGGGTTTAGGTTTTAATTCATAAGGCTTATTATGGGTTTAGGGTTTAAAGGGTTAAGGGTTATTATTCAGGGTTTAAGGTTTAATTCGGCCAGGGTTGTAATGGGTTTACTTTTGAGTTTGGAGTAGGGTTTAAAATTTGAAGGCCCGGCCGGCCCAAACCTCATCCTCGTCGTTAAACGACCAGATCACGGAACCGCGCAGGGGTGGATGAGGCGGCCAAGCAGAATCGCAATTGTTACGTCAGCTGCTCTTGGCATGGCTGGGTAGCACGACCTGTGCGCGCACGCGCTCACCTCCTGCTACTGGTTAGAGTTAGATTATTAGTCTTAGTGCGAATAATGTCCGAATTGAATTGAAACTGAATCACTGAACCCCAAACCCAAAATTAGTCACTGCTCAGTAGCTATACCACGCTGAATGACATTCATCATTATTCAGCGTCACGACGTAGTTACTACGTGATGTGGATGGTGTAGCTTAGTCCGGCAAAGTTAAAGATGATGATTTCGGAACAGAGTTGGGCATCCTTCAGGATTTAGGCTTCAGTTTAGGGAAATACCCGCTCTCTAGGCCCTAAGCCACACGCAGTCCGACGATGTAGGGCTCAGGGTTCCGGATTCAGGCTTCGGCTCATTATGAAGTTCAGGTTCAGTTAGAGTTTAGGGTTTAGGCTTGCAGCCGTGCATCCTTAGGATTTGGGGCTCTCCTAGGGACTCTCCTCTTTAAGATTTGCGGGCCTCTCTTGGGGTTTCGAGAACACAGGACGGGGAAACAAATATTATTTCATGGGCCCGGGGAGTAATAAGAATAGGTACCCAGTCAATCAGTGTCAGTCGCCGATCGAAACTTAGCTACAAAATTATTATTCTCAAACTTACCCCAATCTTTTAATTTGTCAGTTCGACTGGTGTTACTACTACCACTACTACTTATAATAGTAGTTGCTATTCACAGACAAACCGGCCGCTCCTGTTCTGTTCCACCATAAGAAACAAACCAAACTCAATTGTCAATCGAACCCTGAACCCTTAATAAAAACAAAGACCTCTCAAAACCCTATTTAAACTAAGACTACTGGTCTACTACGATTATTATTCTTGTTAGTAGCTCTTCACAGACAAACCGGCCGCTCCTGTCCTGTTCTGCACCTGGACCATCATAATCAAAAACTAAACCCTATAAAACCCTGAACCCTCATTGTTAATCATTACCAGTCAAACACTAAATGCTATTACTTTGCTGTTGTTAACTAGACTTATTACTTCTCATGAACTGCGTCCAATTCAAGCAAGCCTCGCCATCAACTTGTCTTCGACACCCCGACGGAGTTTCACAGCTGTCGTCACCAGTTGTGAGGTATGCGTCATGGGGTTCAGAAGCAGAACCACGGCCGATTTGTTGCTGTGGCACACGGACTTCGCAACGTCAATCGCCTCGTCCACAAGCAGAGGCCCTAAGGCAGAGCAGTGGACAAACTGCAAAGGGTCCAGCGTTGGCAACAGGCACCAAATACAGAAAACGATTGCTATGATTTTCGCACGACAAGGCTCGGTTTGAAGGATAGATGGACAAGTCCATGATGAAAATCGTGTGCCTTAAGATGCGTTGCTTAAAGTATCCTCATGTTGGAACGCTGCGTCTGAAGGACTGTTGAGGCATGCTAGAACATAAATGACAAGCGTCGGGGACGCTTCGTCCTTGTTCTGGGCTTCGATGAGGTCGCACTGGGCAGTTGGCAAGCCACCCTCCAGCTGCACATAGCGTTGCTTCGATTGCATCAGGTCAGTAACAGCCTTTTTCCCACGCTCATAGCGGGCTGCCACATACTTGATATCCAGCTTTCCCTGCGCGGCAAGCAGACTCTCTCACGACACTTGAAACATTACAAGAAACGACTGGCACAGGAGGCAGCAGGAACAACTCTACGCACGGGGCCTCTCTCTCGACTGTCTCCCGCTGGGAGCTGAGGTGCTGCTTCAAAGCCTCCAAGTCGCGTTCCACTTTGGCTTCCAGCTGCTGCGCGGCTGCCACTTGCATCATCTCAGCCACCCTCAGCTGCTTCAGGCTAGCAACCTGACAACGTTACCACTTTAAAATAAATTTTTGTCCGTGCCATCACGACGTAGTACTAGAATCCGCCTGATGCTTATGACATGGAAGAACGCACACGACGACATCATTGAGGACCTGACCTGCGTCTAACAAAAGCATAGTACACCACGCAGACTCTGAGCTGAGGAATTTAACGACTAGTGGCTGCTCATCCTGCGCCAACAGGATTTCCTCGTTCTGGCGAGCATACTTGGACATTGGCAGTCGGAAGGCCGAGATCTTGGATAAATCGATGGGTGGCACCGTGTCAGAAAGCAACGCATCCAGCTCTGCGTCGCAGTGGCGCCGCATGAACCTGAGGAATCCGGACGCAACCACAAACAGTTTAAGTTTCAATTGCAAAGCCCTGGAGCTGACTCTGATCTGATTCCTAAAAACCCTTAAACCCTAAACCCTTAACCCTTTAAACCCTAAACCCTAAACCCTAATTAAAGACACTAAACCTTAAACCCTAAACCCTAAACTTGCCGGCCGTGTAACGTCTCACGAACAGCTGGCAACTCCTTGTCCACAAACTCGGCTGGGTATTCCCTGCGAAGCTTCTCCAGCCCATCCAAGAAAACCCCGCAGCGACGTTGCAGTGCCTCCTGAGAATCATCATTGTAAAGCAGGCGGCAACCAAGACAATACACCTTAAAGTCGTTGCCGAACTCCATTCACCGGGTCACGACCACCACGCCATTGAACGGCTTGCGCAGCTTGACGTGCGTCCCAAGGTAGTCGGCTTGCATGCGGTCCACCAGGATCGCAATCAAGTCCGCACTGTTCGTCAGCTGCTGCTGCCATGGCTCCAGGGTGCCATTCGCAGAGCAGTAGTCGTCGTTGAACATGTTGCTCGCGATGCTGTCGTGGCTGATGAACCGCATGCCGTACTTCCTCAGACAGGGAAGGATGTTGCACAACGAACAATAATTTCGAATTAAACCCCAACCTTTTTTTGAACCAAACTGTAAACTACAAAGCTCTGGCCCAATGGTCGCCAGGGCGCTCCACCAGCTCACACAATCTCTGGCGAGTCGACTCGCTGCAGAACTTCACCAAATTCAAGGCTGCTGCGCTCTCTTGCCTCCCAATCGAATAGGCTTGCGCCAGAGTGGCCGCCTTGTCCCAGGCCTGGGCTTGAAGATCTGATGTGTGCTTGCTGGTGCCGTTGGTCTGTCACCTGCCAGTCTGTAGCTGTCTGCTCCGAGTCTTAACTTAATTCCTTTCGCCTCGTTTCAGCCTCTGCTTCAGTGCTCAGGCTCAAGGCCTTGCTCATGTCATGGCGCGACACATGCAATAAGAAACAACATTAAATAAGAGCAGCCACTGTCAACAAAGTTTGTCAATTTCAAGTCCCGCCTCAAAGCCAGCCTCTCCAAATCCATCCCCAGTTGATCTCTGCGCCAGAATCAGCTGATGCACCAGATTGAAGGCGTTTGGCTTGCGCCGCATCTGGCTGGCCATTGTCACGCCTCACACCAAGTCAGTATGAAATTAAAATTATTGCAGATCGTTACTGTCTTTACTACACAGGACGTGACAATAGACTCTGAGTGTTTGACTTCGGTTCGCCACGAGCAGCGTCCCCACATCATCATTTTCAACCACCGACACGGCCGCGAAGATGGTTCGCATCGACCTCGAATCAACTCAATGTCAAACGACATACAAACGACGACAATTCTAATTAAGAACCAATGCCCATCAGACCACTCAGTGCATATTCTCAGAACGACGCTTCTGAACATGACTCAACACCAACAGCTCAGACTGGCAGGCGAGACACTGCTTCTGTGATTCGCCCCATGCCTGCTGCAAACTGGCTTTAGTTCATTTCTTGACTGATTGCGATGCATTCCTCAACCGCCCCGTCTGTGTCATGCGGCATGTCATGACAGTCAGTGAAGTTAAGTTAGCCGACTGACACTGAGCTTCTGACCTGAGCAAACTCCGGGCACTGGTACGCACAACAGCAGACAGAAAGGGCCGCCGTCGATCTCGACCACCCCTTGACATATACCAGATGGTGTGGGTCCAGCAGCTCCGCGCACTGCGGCCCTAGCTCGGAAGACTCGATGTAGAACTGCGGCCTCATGGAGAGGGACGGCTTCGTGGCCGTCACCGAAAGTTTTTCCGTTCCAACCAAATTCGGATTCGTGTTGAACCTCGGTGCGCAAATTAAAATTATTATGATAGTACTCCACCCTACATCAGAGACTGACATGCTGTGGCATAGTGCAGCCAACCGTGTTCAGCTGCCGCCTCTCCCTCGGGCCCACAATGGTTCGGAAACCCCTGCGACAGCTCCCTGTAACAGTGCAGCATTTTAGTATGACAGACAGTCAGTCACTGTCATATCATTGAAGCAACCCCGGCCGCCCCGGCCCCACCAAAACAACATGCATTTGAATCAGAAGCGTCACTGTAAAGCCCAAAAGTAGTAGTAGAATGGGACCCGCTTACTATAAACTACGGACAGCACACGCCTCGGACTCGCTGGAAATAACAAAGCCCTCGGGCTTACCAATCAAGACCGTTGACTACAGTCAGACTGGATTGCACAACCCACTATTTACACATACATTTAGCGTCCCCTGCGCGCAAGGCAATTCGCAAGACGCGCGACATGCCACGTGAGCAATGACCGGGTTCGATCGCCGTGCAGCGCAAACCAGACATGAAATAATAATTTCGCGAAACTAGCAGCAAAATAAGAAACTTCCTCTACCGCGGCGGCATGGGAAATACACGACGTGTTCACGGCCATGCGCGGCAACTTTCAATGTAAGTATTAAGTCTACTACTACCTGAGTCTGATGTCTAACCTTTTGTCTTATATCTTATATCTTATATACTTTATAATATATTATAATGCTGCAACTTTAAAGTATTATTATTATGATTACGATTATTACTATTATTCTACTAGTAGTACTAGTACTAGTTGTTCATGGTTAATGTCCATGTCCGTCGTGCCTTGCAACAGACGCCGGCCCCGTGTCATGCGTGCTTGCCACGCGATATGCCCTAAAGCTGGCCTTAGTGCAGCGAGGGGTTGATGTTTCATCTTCTCCCCATCATTCCGTCGTCCTTCATGACCAGATCGCGGAACCGCGCGCGGATGAGTGCCGACGCTGGCGGATAATGTATATTGCTTGGTGCACGACGCGGCACTTGGCATCAAGCTTCGTGGTTGAACGTCCTCGTTCAATTTTAAACAGACAGGCGGCAACGTGCACAGAACACGCGGATTCTGCGACGGCATCGATCTGGTACAGTGACAATTCGACGACGGCCTCACGTTTGCTATTACTAGTCACGTCATCTACCGCATTATGTGAGTCGAAGAACTTGCTATTAAATTCTTACTATAATTTTAATGATTGTAGCATTTATTTCTTCGACCCACACGTGCTACTACTCCTCCTACTACGACAACGACTACTACTAGTGCTATTAAATTAGTGCTACTATTCTTACTCCTGCTACTACTCCTGCTGCTGCTGCTACTACCACTAGTACCACGGGCCCAAGTCGCGCAATGGGGGCATTGGCATCCCTTTTGACAACCTGTTCCTTATTTAAATTTATATACATGCTACAAGGGTTGTACATGGTATTCTGCTGCAACTTGTCGTCCCTTTACAGGGGTCAAACTAAGTGGCGGCTTTATTTCCTGTCCCCCATCGCTTTGCAGGGTTTCTCACTGACTTCATCCTGCCAAGATAAACCGCTAACTATTCATCCAAGTTTTGACCCTTGGCCTTGCGTCATGCTTGGCGTACAACATTGACATACGACGACCCCACCACATACCAGACTCAGTCGCATCATGCTTGTTATTGCAAATCAAGTAGAAATGATAATGCAACCTTGGAACCACGACCCGGATGCAGGAATCGAAATCACGCCCTTCACGTAAAATCCGAAGCCCTTGACAATGAACCCTAAGGAGCCCCCAACCCGATGTAAATCCAAATCCTTACCCTAAGGCTAATCCTAAATTATTTCCTTATGCAAAGTGACTGTGACAAGAAAGAAAAAGAGAAAGATAGAAAGAGAGAGAGAGAGAGAGAGAGAGAGAGAGAGAGAGAGAGAGAGAGAGAGCGAGAGAGAGAAAGAGAAAGAGAAAGAAAAAGAGAAAGAGAAAGAGAAAGAGAAAGAGAAAGAGAAATTCGAAAGAGAAAGAGAAAGAGAAAGAGAAGGAGAAGGAGAAGGAGAAAGAGAAAAAGAAAGAGAAAGAGCAAGAGAGAGAGAGAGTGAGAGAGAGAAAAAAGAGAAAGATAAAGACAGAGAGAGATAAAGCGAAAGGCGAGTAGAAAGGAGAACGGGATTAGATGAAAGAGTGAAAGAGAAATAGAAAGCAGAGAGGAGTGCAAGCAGAGAGACAGACGAGTAGAGATAAGAGACGAGAGAGAGAGAGGAGAGAGAGATAAAGAGAGGATGAGAGTAGAGGGGATGACGTATAGGAGAGAGAGAGCTCAAAAGCCTTAGAGATCGCGAGAGAGAGAGAGAGAGAGAAAGAGAGCGAGATAGAGAAAAGAGAAAGAGAAGAGGGAGTCCCGGTAAGGAGGTGGGCAGGCAGGGAGAAGGGGGGGAGGAGGGGAGGAGAGCTGCTTGGGGGAAATGGAAGGCGCCAATAAGAGAGAGAGAGAGGAGAGAAAGAAAAACAGAAAGAGAAAGAGAGAGAAAGAAGAGAGCGAGCGAGAGAGAGAGAGAGAGAGAGAGAGAGAGCGGGCCAGGGTGGGGGGGATACAGATTGAAAGAAAAAGAAAGCGAGAGAGCTCGAGAGAGAAGAGAAAGAGAAATAAGAAGGGCTTATGATTTCAATAAGAAGAGACATGCGAGACAGAAAGAAAACACAAGGGACTTAGTGTTAAACTGAAGGAGAGAGAGAGAGAGAGAGAGTGAGAACATGGACATTAAAAGAGACATTAAGATTTCAGAGACGAGTGAAAGAGAGAGAGAAAGGCTAAGGGAGAGGGACAGAAAAAGAGGGGTGGCAGAACGAAGACGAGCAGTAAGCACCCTCAACCCTACTCAAATAATAATAGACCTGAAACCCTATGACTAAACTCTAATTCAATCCCTGGACCCTTGACCCTACCTAAACCCTGAACCCCAAACTAATTCCGGAAATTTCAATGATGTTGCTTTGCACCCAAAAACAGCACTGCAACTGTTAAGGTTCACAGCCGAGCCGCCCGTTGATCACGATCAGCTCGCACAATGCCAAGTGTGCATCCTTGGCAGCGCGTTAGCCCCAGGACCATGAACCCCCAACCCAAGCGACGACCAGATCACTGGTTGCACACCTACTGTCCCCCCCCCCCTCCCCCCCTGCACCACGCCCCCCGCTGAGTCCCCAAAGTTCACCGCTCCATGCTCTCATTGTCTGTCATGCCATCTTCTCTCCGTACGTTTCAAAATCACTTGCAAACGGCAGCAAAAACTCAAACAAAAAAACTATTATTATTAGAGGCGGAAGCCACAGCGCTGAGACAGTCAGATTGCTTGCCGACAGCACTGAAATGCATCGGAGCCGCTGGTTCCTGAACACCCTTGCAGCCCTGGCAGCTGAGGTAGGGGAGCATCCATGGGCGTAGATTCACGGGGCCCGCCTTTTTGAAAGATTTGCCCTGGGCATACGTCCTGAGGGACCAAAGACTCAGTCACCGCACAAGACATTCAAGCAGTGTCAGTCAATGGTCACACTGAGCATGACAAGCGGGAGCGTTTGCGACAGCATCGACACTTGAATGGGTCAAAATTAATTCCAATATAGAATGGTACGCACATTCGTCTCCGCGGGGTACTCGACGTCCAAGTGTCGCAGGAAGCGCAGCACCGTGTCCTGGCACTCGGGAAATGATGGCACATCAGCTCGACTGTCAGACTCAGACTCAAGGCCTGACTGCCGAAAAAATAGAGACTGACACTGAGCGCACCTTGTCCGTGAACGTAGAGGAAAAGAATTGCTGAACCGTGCCGTGCTCTTCCAACTTGGCCGCCCTGAGCACGCAAAGCTCAAGCAGGATGACAATGATTATAGGACGCTACCAGGGCCGGAAACATTACCTAACGTGAAGTGCATGCGCCAACAAAACATGAAAATTGCGGACGGAGGACCACCACTGCCGAAAGAGGGTCACAGCCTGGGTGTCAGGCAGGTCAGGATCCTCCTCCTCGAGCTTTCCGCTGCCCGTGTCGCTTGCGCTGGCCACACTTCTCATGCTCTGAGAGCGTCTTGGGGCTTTGCTGCTGCCAGCGGGGGCTTCGGCCCCAGGCCTTTTCTGCTTTGTCATGATGCCTGACCTTGAACAACCTTCAAACGGCCGCACAGCACAGGCGGCAGCTTCAGATTCAACTTGACACTTAGTGACATGAATGCCGCGACGGAGGCAACACATGTACAGTCGGCAGCCAAAACATTTATTGCCAGAGCCGGGCGCAGCGCAGCATCCGAATTCACATCGAATTTCATCATGGTTCCCGGACCTGGCTGGCACTCGTCTGACTACATGACATCTGACTGATCAATGTAGGACCGGCAAAAGAACACAGTCGTCCGGATTCAGGAAATAACTTAGACTCAGACTCGTTTGGCTTGGAGAGTTAGGGTTTCAAGGCTTTGGGGTGGTATAACTTCATTCTTACTTGCGGCTCTGGGTAGTTTGTTTGCAGAACTCCCCCCGGGCCCCTCCCCACCCCGAACGTTGTGACTGTGGCTTCTTCGTCGGACCCCCGAACCCCCCCCCACACCACCTCCCCCCCCCCCCAAACCACCAGGACCCCTGTTTTGTGACGAACGTTGTTGGCTTTTAAGTCCAAACCCCCCCCCCCCTCCCCCCGCCCCTCACCCCCCCCCCTCCCCCCCCCACCCCTCCCCCCCCCCCTTCATTTGGCGACTAATGTCGACAGGATTCGTCGCAAACGATTTTTTGGCCCTACATTACCATCTGGCAGCAATTTCTCACATGTCCCCCACGCTAGAGCCACAGGTGTCCATGCCGCACCCCAATTTTTTTCAATTCTGAGGCCACGATTCGTCCTAAAACGCCCCTTGCTGAGAAGAGCGTGTTTTCCGATGAATGTTGACGACTTTCATCTGGAAATGCTGGGTTCTGGGGCGATTTTTTTCCAACAAACCCAACAACCGCCTAGTACACGAAAATTTCTCCGAGAAAGGGGCCTATTCAGAGATGAAAGTCGTCGACCTTCATCGCTTATGAGGCTGCCGCGCAGGAGCCACGTTTTGTGACTAACCCCGTCCTCTCAATCAGACTGGGCCACACATTCTGCGGGCGCGAAGATCGAGGTCGAACCGAGTCGAACCCGTGACTCCCTGTGCCAGACCAGGGTTACGTTTGCGAGCGGGCGCTGCGTGCAACCTGGGCATGATCAGGACGCTGGCCCAGCCTGAAAGGGGCTTCCGCGGCAGCCGGCAGCATCTACACAGCGATCGCAGCACCACCGTCCTCTACAGTTGCAGCCTTAAAGGCTGCCTCCACCGTACTCAAGGCTGTGTCCCATGCAACGCCCGCTGCCCACAATCTCGCTGCCGCTGTGTATATGTGATACCTCGCGCGCTTGGCCTTGTACTTCAAGAGATGCTTTCTCTCCAGGTTCTCTCTTCGGAGGGCCACAACATTGGCAGCCTTGGCCACAGCAGCAGGCCATCAAAGGAAACTAATAATTAGTGTCCCACGGCTGTCTTGCCAAGAAACTCAGCAGCAGTCAAGGTAAAAGCGTTACAACATGTCCCAGGGCTGTCTCGCTGACAAACTCAGCAGCAATGAAAGTAAAGCGTTGCAACAATTTTCACGCCAAGACACCGGAGCCACAGGAAGTCCAGCATCTGAGTCCCGACCGGGAATCGCCGGACCCACGGCAGGGCCGGGCGACAAAAGCCCACCAATTGACATGGGCGGCGCGCGTACACGAGTGTCTGCTGCCAGATTCTCCAGCTGCTGCGCGGCAGCTGTCATGTTGAATGGCGCCGCACCTCAGGACGGCGAGCCGAGCCGCCAAAACTTCAATAACTAAAATTTTGTAAGTCTTGGAAATAACTGATCTAGAGAGACAAGGTAAGTTTAGCTTGCAAGCGCGGCGCGTAGCAGGGACGCCAACTTCAGCCAGGATTCACAGCTCTTCTCGTCTCTCGGGCGCTCTTCCACAAGGACTGACAGGGACGCAGACGCAGCTTTACATTCAGAGTGGGACACTCAGTGAGTGACTGACTGACAGATAATATTCTAATCCAGAAACAAACCTGACCTGGACCTACAAAGCTGAAATTAAACCATGAAAGGAAATTAAAATTGGCCTTCTGGGACAGCTCCCTGCTGCGCCAGCTCTACCGCAACAGCGTACGGGAGGTACAAGATCGGACGGCTGTAGGAACTGTCCGGGTCGGACATGTACTGTTTGGTCCTGTTGCGAGCATTGTGTTAGATTAGCTTCCTGGGCTTAGGGTTTAGGCTTCGGTTCAGGGCTTCGTTATGTTAAAGTTGGCTTCAAATTTAAAAGGGGTTGGGCCTGGGGTCAAGCTTTAGGGTTAGCAGCATCACTTCAAAACCTGAACCCTTTTAAACCCCACAAACTCTCTACATCATCCCCCCCCCGCCCCCCCGCAGACCCTGCCCCAGAGCCGGCCTGAGAACAACATCTGAGGGATGTGGCGTGGCCCCAAGACGCTGCCAAAAGCGAGAATCAACATCCTCGTCTTCAAGGCCTGCACCCACTGCCAGACCACTGACTTAGAAGGACCGAACACGTCCTGATCTGATTACTACTTTAGCCGCAAGGATTCTATGCCTGGCCTACTTTGTTAACAATTATAAACATACAACGCCTCAAGCCCGGGTCCTGATCAGGAGGGGGTCCCGACTACTACTTACTACTCATTGTTTGACCCTGCAGGGCCTAGATCACTGCGACGGTCGAATGCAAAGACATGGGGCGCGCCAGGGCCTCCCACGCCTACCAAATGATTGCTCTTGCAGCCAGCCGCAAGGAAAGTCTTCCTCAGGCAGCGGCGTCACTGGCAGGAGAACTTCAGTGGCACCCGACACCCGTTGCCATTTTTTCAACGCTTACTAAAAATAAAAATTAAATTGAAAATTTAAATATAAAATAATAGTTGACATGACAAGCGGTACTTATTGGGACACGGCTCCAATCTCGCGTTGACTCGACCAAAAAAGCATGTCTCTCAGTGGTCTCGTGCACTCGAGTGGAAGGGTCCCGCAGCCACTTGTTGAGCACCTCCACGAATTGGGCAGGTGTGTGAATTTCGTGGTGGGTCTGGAGCACGCTGGTAATCACAGAGAACCACTGGTCAATATCCTCGTGGCTGTGTCCGCTTTCCAGCTGGCACAAAACAATATTTTTCAGTCTGTGAAGTGCAATCAGCAGGGCGGATAAACGTAATAATGTGTTGTTCTTCGTTTCTTTGCTCGTATTGTCGCTCTGCAAATGCAGAGCGACGCCCCGTAGGTCCAGGCCGTGTCTGGCCAGCCGGTGCAAGCAGTGAAGAACCAGATCAGCGCAGAAGCTGCTACCCTTCGGTAGGAAAGGCTCGCTCAGGGCCAAAAAGCAGGAGTGGCCGTGAACAAGGCATCCCATGACGTCCATTGTAGGACGAATATACGTGGAAAGCTCTTTGGAAGCGAAGACTCTGCTGCGAGGATACTTGAATTTAGAGTGGTCAATCGCATCCAGAATCATCGCCACCACCACGTGGTTTGAAGGAAGAGGCGTCTTCAGCCTGCTGCAGCTTCGCGCGCGCCAATAGACAACGCGGTCCCGGTATTGGCGCTCCAAGTGCTCAGCATACAGCTTTTGCTGACCTCTGCGAGCTTTCAGGTCGCCACGCAGATGCCGCAGTATGTGCTTGTGCTTGACGCACTGCGCGCACTGAGCATGCTGGGTTTTCTCCCTGATCGCCAAGCGAGCGCCAAAGGATTCCGACCAGACCAGCGAAAACAGCTTCAAGGTGATCTTCTCCGCGGCGTCCAGCCGTAAGTTTAAAAGAGCAAGATATTCGGAGAAGGAACCAGGAGGAAGCATACGCATCTCGGACTTGTCCTCGTCCTTCATCCTTCTTTGCTGGGCAGCCAGGCGTGGCTTGCGGCCGCGTGATCTGCGAAATGCAAGGGCCTTGTTTTGCGGCACTGGCTCTTGAAGTTTCACCTCTGCCATGGATTCGGCAACAGTCTGGTACAGCTCTTCCAAGAACTCGACGACGACCTCACGCTTCGCAGTCAGCCGCTTCGTCCTCCGGAAAAGTCGCCGCTGGCTGTAACACCGCCTATCCAGAGGCGGCTCCTCGCCTTTAACGGCCGCAGAAACCAGCTTGCGCATGCGGCCCGACCCTATCGCCAGCAGCCGACTGAAGGCATCGTTGCAAAGCCGCCTTCCCAAGAGGGACTTGCTGAGCTTCGCGGGGCCAGCATCGGGCCTCGGGGCCGCCAGTAGCTTCATTACCTTCTGAATCTGTAACATCAAAGAGGTCCAGGTCTGTCACTCTAACTTCATTCACAACTGACACGGAAAAAAATACTACTCAAAAAGCAATCAATATACAAAAGACCACGTCAAACCAAATTGAAGGTTTGCTGCTGCCAGGACACTTCCCGATCCGAATCCGATTTAGCAAGGCTTCGCAGATTGTGCTGCAAACCTGCCAAACGTTCCACGTCATCACGGAACTGGAAAAAGCAGCTCCCAGATTTCTTGTGGCGGCAGCAGCGGCATTTCTTGCGCGTCAACAAAGCCACCGCCTTCCGAACAGCATGCAGGGATGGCACCTTGGCAGGAGGCCGCGCTTCAACTCCTCCCTTGCCCTGTCCTTTCAAGCGCGGAGGTGGCGCAGTACTGCTGCTGGCAGGCTCGTCGTCAGAGAGAGCTTCCACAGGCACCAGCTCGTGATGAGCACGCGGCCTTTGCCTTTTCAGGGGGGGTTCTTTCACAAGCTGCTGCTCCTCGTCATCTGACAGCTCGTCCACATCCTGCATCATGATGCTGAAGTCTGCAGGCAACTGCTGCGCACGTCGTGCCACGATGCAGGGCAGACTCAGACTTCGAATAATAACTGCGCACAACGCGCGCAAAGCACTGAAGCATGAAGGGCGCCAATCGTGCCAACGGCTGACTTATAATGTGACATTCTTTGCAGTCTAACTTCGACACCCTATTACTCGCAACTGTCAGGAACTGCTGCCAAGTTGGGGCTACTGCCTGTCGCACGAAACTTGTAGAGAACCTATGACAATTAAAAAAATCTTCAACCCTCCAGAAACCAAACCTTAAACTTAAACCCACAATTAATTACTATAATCATGATAAGAATAATAAATGACCGACCATACGAAAAGCCTAAACCCCCTTTACATGTAGTTAGCAAAATCTAACCTTTAAACCCAAACCTTAAAACCCTAAATGCCCTAAATCATGATTACTATTTAATTTAGAGTCGATAACTTAATTAGGGTAGTACCCGAAAATACTACCCGATACCGTTTTCAACCAGACATCACGGTCACGGCGTCCCCGAGCTTGGCTTGTCATGTCGGCAGCGACAGAAGAAACTGATTCAGAACAGTAACAATGCCCTGAGCCTGAACCCCTGAATGCGCGTTAAGCCCCAAAGGGGAGGCGAGGCCAACAAAGAATAAAACCCGGGACCCCTGAATTCGCTAGACTGAGTAAATTAATCAAAAGGGGAGGCCAATAGAGAATAACAGCACGCCCTGAACCCCTGAACTTGCAAACTAAACCCCAGCCGCGCGCCCTGAACCCTTGAATTGGCGAACCCTAGGGGGAGGCCAGCCGAGAAGCAAAACACTCCCGTCCCGCTCAACCCCTGAACTCTAGGCCTTAGGGCCTGGGGGGAAGTAGTGTTGAAGTTGTAGTAGTTGAAGGCCAACAGACAAAAACAAACACCTCCTGAACCCGTGAATTGGCAAACTCCAGCGCCCCTTTGTGATAAAATTTGGCACGGTGCCCAGGGGCAAAGCGAGCCAGGCGAACCTTGAAGTTGAACTTCACCGCCACGGCTCGCAAACACTGAAAAGCACTGCGTGGGGCCATGCCCACTGCCGGAAGAAACGGAGCACGCTGCATTCAGTCAGCAACCGGTAATAATTACATTGCCTAGCACCAGGCTGGGAGCAAACCATCATGGAAGCTTCTGAGCCTCGTGCACCATGATGTGCAGCCCAAGGCGTGCGCACTGCGGGACCACAACGTTACCTAAACAGCGCAGGCGCTCGCAGTCCTGCGAGCTCTGGCTTGGGGCCAGCCATTCGCGAAGTGGCTGGGCGCCAGCGAAATTCCAATCAGCTTCGGCTGCAGACCGCATCGTCTCGGCGCTCATTTTGGGGATATCCTGCATGGCAATTTGTATAAGTTATGCAAAATTTGCATTTAAAAACATTCTGGGTTAAATTAACAGACTACTACTACTATTACTATTTGTAACTTAAATGAAAAATGATTGAGGACACAGATGAAAGTTCAGCCTGCCTGCGTGACCTCCCTCAGGTGCTCGGACTTGCAAGCCAAAAAGAACACTCTTTTGCGCAGAACCTCAGAAAAGGAATTCGACGGACCCCGGACGGGAATGGATAATGAGCAAAGTAAATAATAATAGTAAATATTCATAGGAAATACAAGGCCTTATACTACGCCAACAATAATAATAGTCAGTAATCATCAACATAATAATCATAGTGTCTTTTTTTATTTCAAATTGAAAGTGATAATTGAAATTAATTGTAAATTAAATTATATAATACTGAGAACCGTGGCTTCAGAACCAAGTCCAAGACGGGCACTCCCACTTGGCGGCCTGTGGTCGTACTCCACAGCAATACCATTCCTCTCTTGCAGCATTCCTCCCAGGCACTCACTGTGAGTCTCAAATTCAAAGTCTGGCCGGACACTTTGCGACAAGAGGAAGAAATTGTAAGATTGGTTGCCTTAATCAAGTAGGCCATGACGGGCTTGTGCTTTTTGCCGAGGATGTTGCGGACGTTCTCCAGGAAAATGAACTGCCTTGCGCAATGAGAGGCATGATAATCAAAGAATCTATATAGTATTTGACAAACTCCAAAACGCACAGATCCTGCAAGTAGCAAGGCTTCCTGACGGAGTCTGAGGGCTGGGCCCATCAATGAGTTGATCGTATAATCGAAACACTTGTGTCAATAGCCCTGACTGGGCATGACTCAACCCAGACTGACCCCCTGCCTGGCTGATTCCCTGAGCTGCGTATGAGTCTGCCATTCAATGCGAATTCAGTTAGCAACGCATATTATTAATGATGATGGCCATCAAGCCACTTGGCAGGGGAACCCGCCGATGACGGCTTTAGCAAGAGCGGCCAACTTGGAATCAAGCTGGCAAGTCTTGATGTCCTCGAATATTGGCCCATCGTGCGCCAATCCTTGCTCGATCAAGCCACGAATGACGCCAATGCAATGCGGATCTTGCTCGACCTGAGGGCTTCTGATTCAAAGGTCAGGTCTGTCAAAAGAGTAAGACTAAGAACTAAATGCTGAAAACTTGCATGTTCGGTGGCTGAGATCGCGGCGTATGCAATGGGATACGCCAGCCTTGTGGGCAGGAGAACACGTCTGCTGACTGACGAGCGGCCTCCGAATCAGGAATGAATCTGAGGCTGTGACTCTTGGATTCCCATGTCAAGACCAAGCACTCCCGAAAACAGCGAGATGGCGGGGAACACTCCGGCCTGGAATGAAAAAAACCACTCATACTGACTAGTATTAAACATCATGGGATCATTGACATACTAGGGCGCAAGCTCGAGAACAGGAGAGCAACTGCCTGGCATGCTCGGGATCGATGTGGTAGGACTGGGCTTGTGTCCAGCCAGTGGGCAATCCTCAGTTTGCAACGTAGCAGGCCCGGCGGCAAAAGACTCTAAGCTTTATGCTTGATTGCGAAGATCATGACGGAGACTGACAGAGATCGAATCGAACTTCAATTTTACTTTAAGGCCCGGGCCACTGAGGTACTCGGCCACTTCAGGCCGAAGGAAGATCCCGGACGAGACCTTCTGATTCTTTTCTGAGCATTGCTTCTTGTATGTCTCCGAATACCGCACCTGGCTGGCCAGGTCCTTTGGCCCAGGTCAACACTGGCACGGAACACAAGTCACGGCCCTTGTAGCAGCAGTCCTGCTTGGCCCTCTGTGAGAGATAATTGTTGTTGGCCCGGACGCTGGCTGGAAAGCATCCTCATGTCAGCTGCTAATACAAAGCTTAAAACATAATAATTTTGAATACTGAATGACAATGACCGCGGCACTGCTGAGTCTACTACGAAAACTAAGCATCTGACTGATTGTCGCGAGCTGGCGAACCACCACAGGTTTCTTGATAAGCTTAATGCCGGCCTGCTCCAGCTCCATCTGCTTCTTCGCCGTCAATTTGGGCGGAATCTGCAAGTGGAACTGAAGGCAGAACATAATAACAATCAAGGCTGCTTACGTAACATAAAGAATAAGACCAGTGGCACGAGTTTACCAAAGCAAATTAATTTCAACACAAGGCTGCGGCACCAGTTTCAGCAGGAGATCTCCGGTATCCGGCGGCTTGCGGCCGAACACAGGCATGTACCCACGCACAAAGAGCACGCCATGCTCTGAGCTCACGAAGGCATATTCAGGCAACTTCCAGGAGTCCGGCAGCTGGAACTGCGCAGCAGAAGATGAGTCAGAACCAAGTCTGAGATGTTGCGGTAAATTCGCCTCGGCTTCCTGCCGAGAAGCGTCTGGAACAAGCCTTCCGGGTCGGGTCGGGCCTCCTTCCCCCTAACCCTTCCCCGCATGCCAAATTTTCTACCCCCCCCCCCCCGCCCTCTGCGACCCCCAATCCCTTGGAGGAGCTGCAAACCGATGCCGGTGGCTCCTACAGGAAAGTGCCTCAAAAATCCCCACAACCCCCCCCACCCCCCCCCACCCCCCCCACCCCACCCCCACCCCCCCCCCCCCACCCCCCCCCCCACCCCCCCCCCCCACCCCCCCCCCCCACCCCCCCCCACCC